ATTTTATAATTGTATTAAATATTTAGTATTGTTCTGAAAGTTATAGTTAAAATGTTTCAAAAAGAAATTTTTAATTTTACATATAAATTTATTGTAAATTTATTACAACTTTTTATAAAAAGTAATTTAAAAAAATTATCTCATATATATATATATATATATATATATATCTGAAAACAAATTTTCAATCACAAATGCAAACGTATTCTAAGGCTCTTTTGTTATTGAGTTTGCTCTACTTGCTTAGTGCACTGCCTTCGGTTTGATTAAGTTGTTTTATTTTATCTCTTCAATGTTACCAAAAAGTTTACTTATTATTTTTTTTTGAACAGTGAGGAAATTTTTGGGGAAGGGGAAAAAGAGGATCTGAGCATAGAACTCAAGTTATTATGTTTTAATTATGTCCTAAGCATATTCCACAAGGAGGGTGGTCAATAGGCCACCAAAAAATTTATTTATTATCGTAATTGAAACTTATTTTTTCATTTTCACCTTAGGTAGAATTCAAGTACTACTATTCAATATCATATATTAAAAGGAGATATGAAACATATTAAAATGAGAAATGAAATAATTAAATCATATTATTCTCACTTAAGAACATGATAATTAAATCAAGATTGTTATTGACCACAACCATTGCATATGCTTTCTCCATGGGGATTTCTTTCTTCTTCTTTTTCCATACTCCCTTTGTCTGATTTGATAATTTCTGGAAGGTTCATGCGCATCCAGACAGTTCCCAAATTTCCTGAAGGATGAGGCTATACAGGTATTTGATTAGTACTTTTTGTTCAGACCCTTTTTTTTTTTAAACAAATTTACAAATAATTCTAACATTCTATAAAAAATGAGAGAAAGTCATCCCAAGAATTCAAATATCAAATCCGAAAGTGCTCCTATTTAAAGAGTAAGTGATAAACTATTTGATCTAAATGTGTAAAACTGCTCAGAACTTACTACAAATAAATAAAAGATTCTGATTCCTAATGTTTTCCTTTTAAAAGGAACTTATTTGATTGGTACTTTTTTCCAGAACATACTGCAATTAAATAAAAGATTCTGATACCTGATGTTTTCCTTTAAAAGGAACTGAGCTTTATGTTATTGAATTAGAGGTTTCCAGAAATTATATCAATGCTCCTGTAAAAAGAATCTTTTAAAATGTAGGTTAAATGCTAAATTTGGTCCTTCAACTTTAGTGAGTTGCACATTTTTGGTCCCTCAACAATTTTTTGTACCTTTTTGATCCCTCAACTCTACAAAATGGACTCCGTTAATCCTTTTGTCAATTTGGACCGTTAACTCAGCCACATGGCTTTTTTTATATATTTTTTTATTACATGGCGAGCACAACTTAAAAAGATACTTATCTGGACTTTTTTTTTTTTATGACATATCATCTTCATCTTCTTCACGCAAAACCCCTCCAATGGATTCTAGTTGCTTGCAAATTGGTCTCTCATCTTCACCATCTGCAAAATCGATCTTAACCCATTTCTTCTTATTCTCTGAATGCTCTCTCATATCCACTCCATCTGCAAAATCGATCTTAACCCATTTCTTCTTATTCTCTGAATGCTCTCTCATATCCACTCCATCTGCAAAATCGATCTTAACCCATTTTTTTCTTCTTCTGTGAATGCTCTCTCATCTCTACTCCATCTACAAAACTGATCTTAACCCACCCATTTCTTCTTCTTCTCTTTTCTCGAGGAAACTTGAGCTATTGGATTTCATTGAAACCTTAAACCTGGCAGATCTTACCAAATCAAAATAACCCTTCAATAAACAATACCAATCAAACTCTAATCGAATTTCAACAAAAATACAATCAAACTTTAATTAAATTCCAACAAAAATGCAATCAAATTATAAATCAATCTCCAAATATATTAACAACTGGAAATGGAAATCAAAAGAAGAACGAAAAAA